CCCTCGGTTCCTTCGCTCCTGCCCGCGGGCCCTCAGCCCTCGCCCGGGGCCGACCCGCTCCCAACCGCGGGCCCTCGGCTCCTGCCCTCGGTTCCTTCGCTGCCGCTGCCCTCCCGCAGGGCTCAGCCCGCAGCCCGGCGGTGCGGGGGGTGCCGGTGCCGCCGGAGGCCGCGGGAGCCCCCGCGGCGGTGTCTGAGGAGGCACCGCTGTGGCATCGACAAACAGAACCGGCTTTCCATTTCTGAAGCCTTTATAAAATCTCAGCTTCTAGAATCAGGTAGTTTACTGGAAAAATAGCTGTTGTTGCTAAGAAAGAAGAGTGTCAGAGTTTTGCGGCAGCAGACGAAAAACAAAACCCAGGCACTTTAAAGTATTAAAACCCAAAGCTGTTGAAATCGGGGCACTTTGAGGTTGGTATTTGCCTTCCTTTCTGAGGCACTTATTATCGGAAGCCGGTTCCAGGCGGGGCTGTGGGGGGCCAGGGCTGCAGAGCCCCCTGCACAGTCCCGCTGCCCCAGCGCCGAGGCTGCTCCGCATCCCCCGGCCGGGTCACAAGTGCTGGTTGTTCCCGGCTAAGGTGGTTCCGTAGCTTGGGGTGTTCCTGAGAGTAAAGCACCAAACGAGAACTAAGGCAGTTTGAGCTCAGACCTCTGGGAAGAACAGCTTTTAAAAGCTTTTCCTACCTTTCTTTCACTTTGGCAACATTAAAATTTGGGGGTTGTCTCAGTACAATTTTGTACGAGTTTTTGGTGGTAGTTGTCAGATTAATTCCAGCCTTTTCATTTACTCAGCTCAGTCCTGGCTGTGTTTAAAAGCAGAGGACTGAGACTATGTGTTCAGTTCCCTCTTGTCCTGGACTTGTGAGTGGAAGTTCTCAGAATTGATATTTGACAATAGACAGGATTTGTAGCCTCCATTTTCTGGGCATTACTTGCTCTTTTTTTTTTCATCACAGGACACCAGAGGTACTCAAACCTTTTCCTCTGTTGATGTTTTATCTTGATTTTGATAGTGCTTTGATTTGAGAATTGCCACTCTGATGTCTGTAGGGCAAGTGTGCAGAGTTCTCTTGATACTGATTTTCTTCTGGTAACTACTGCTGATTTTCACTTTTAGTCTTTAAAATCCAAATTGGCCTTGCAGATACCCGTCCTAAATATTTATGTGAAATATTGTTTCTTGGTTCAAAGCTTGAGTATACTTTGCAAATATTGGCTCTTCTGTTGTGCCATCTTTCTTTTCCACAGCTGATCAGTACATTCATCTTGTGTTCTTGTATTTCTAACTGTATCTGCATTTCTGTTCTGGGGTTGCACTCTGATTGTAAATTGAGGGGAGAAATTTTTCACACATATTTTTGACACCTATTGATCTGTGTCTCTTGGGTATTACCACAATAAGGTTGCAGTAATAAGCCATTGACAGAGTCTGGTTTGGATCTGTCCTGAGAAGGGCTGAACAACACAGTAATAAACCCATCAGTATTTATTTTGCCTAGAAAAATGATGCCTGTGCAGAGATATCAGTACAGTCTTTCCTAGTGATCACTATATTGAGACTCCCTATGAGGAAATTCATTCTATTAAATTTAGTCTGCTTAGGAAACCACTATTTATTTTTTTTTATTATTTTGTCCCTGAGGCAAGACGTTGTCTTGTGCAAAGCACCTTAAAAAAAGGGTCATTTTTACTTATTATGGATAAATTAGGCTTAATGAAATGCAGTCAGAAACCTCCGTCTTCTAACATAGTGAATTTTTTTAAGCTAGACAGGTAAGATCATAAACCCAACAATTTTTCACACAAGCTTTTCTTTTGTTTGTTTTCTTTAGCATTAAAAACTCTCCTAAAGAGTTCCTGCTCATCAGAGCAAATGCAGTTTAATGGGACAGTTGGCACTTGCACCAGTTTGAGGGATATGAGTTTTGCCTCTTTCTCAAGCTGTTTATTGTTTCCTCAGACAGGGCTCAGGCCCAGGAAGCCTTCCCTTACAGGATAGCACTTCCAGACACATTTATGGGGTCTGAGCATCCCCCCATCCGTCAGGTGTTGGAAAAGCAACTTTTTTATCCACTGCAGAAGCATCAATCTGTCATCGGTAGAATCCATTTCTTTGACTGTTACAATTCTGATGTTTGCTTATCTCTGATAAGCCTTGTTGCACATTCTCATCCCAAGCCGTTTATTTTGTATACATGGTAATACACTGTGGTTCTGTAGCTCAGGGCAGTGCTGGTTTGCAGCTACTCAAACCTGCATTCTAAATGTTATAATTTGAATAAGCCCTCCCTTAGAACAGGCTGTGGTTCAGCACTTTGTAGAATGTTTTTACTACACATCCAACACACTCCATAGGATATTTTTACTATGCATACAATATATTTACTTTTGGTATTACTGTTAAATGTTTGTTCTTTGCTGTTATATGCCAAGGTAAAGTGAACTATTACCCAATTATCAGGTTATCAGGTCAGGATCATTAGTAGCTGTAGGGAAAAGCACAAGGCAATTCTTGGGAGTGGTTTTATTAACCTTGCTAACCTTCCTTGAGGAGGAAATAATGACCATCGACAGAGCTGTAAATAAAGGCTGTAGTTTTACCCTCTCCTGTTCCTTTGTGCATGAATGGAAAGTGAACTTACAACGGGTCTTTCTTCCTTGTTGCCATCCTTTCTCACTCAGCCTTCCTCCTGCTGTTGCTGTAGGAGCTCACCCTTCTGCAGATGTCAGATAATACAATTTTGTTTGAGTTTATTCATTTTGCCTGGCGGCTTCTCAGAGATGCTCTTTATTTTTTTTAATTTTCACGGAAATAGTGTTGTGGTGAACTAAAACACCATCCCGGGAGCCCTCTGCTGGCACTTTGTGCTTTTGCTTTAGGCTGCGGTAGTATTTTTTTCCTTCCCAGCTGTGCTTGCTTCAGCCTAAGGACTCAGATTAGCGTCTGTTAAACTACTTTAACCTTGATGATTTTATTTATTTATTTATTTTTGCCGTGAGAAGGAGTACTCGCATTGACTGTCCCTGGGAGTTTGGCGGTGCAGCCATGGGCATTTACTGTGGCACCGGGTGATGTGGCGGGGATGCTCCGGGCACGGCGAGCCTCCCTGCAGCCGTGAGTCCCTTCGGCAGCTCTCCCGGGCTCTGGGGGAGAGCGGCCGCAGGAGCCGTGCTCTGCCGGAGCCTTTCCCACCGCCCAGCTTTGCTCCGTGGGTGTCCGTGCAACACGACTGCGCTGCCGAGCGCCGCCGGCTGACGCAGAGCTGCTCCCAAACCTGGAGGTGCCGGGAAGAGCGTCCTGGAATCCCGGAGTGAGCCCCGAGGCACCAGGGAGCTGCTCTCCGCCAGCACCGCCCGCTCGGCTTTGGGGTTATAAAAGCTCCGTGCGCCTCTCAGAAAAGCGCCTGGAAAAGGGGAGGGTGGCATCGCTGGCTTTGGACGACACCTGCCCGTGATTTCACGCGCTCTTCCCTCCTGGCGAGCTCCAGTCAAGCCTCTGCAAAGATTTCCCAGTGCCGCGTCCTTCCTCACCGGTCGGGGACGGGCACAGCCAGTTCAATGCAGGCTCTCGGATTTTTTCGGCGCTCTCTCGGAGTATACGTGCTCTAAATGCCTACAATACGGAGGAATCCAGCTGCTCCTAATGGGATGCATTTGCAGAGAGGAAGAATTCCTCATTTAAGATGGGTAATAAGCAAACGATATTTACTGATGAACAGCTAGATGCCTACCAGGTAAGATATCTCGGTTTGCATCAGGAGATGGGAAGGAGTAATCTTCGTATGTTTCTGATTTGGTTTTTTGTTTGGTTTGAGGAATGGTTTTTCTTTTCTAATATAATTGAAAACTTCCTTTGTAACCTGCATGCACACATCCTACTATTCCTTCCAGCAACTGTAACAGTATTCAAAGGCTGGGTTGTTAAATATACATAGTATAATTCCCTCTCTGTATACCAGGAAAAGTCACATCCTCAATGCCTCGGCTAGGAAGCAGGATAAGGACTGTGATGAGCTTGGCAAAGTGTAGCAATAACCTCTCTTTCTCTCCCCGATGCCTTTGCTGACAATAGAGGGGAAAGGAAAGAAAAGGAGGTCTTGTCTAAATTCACTTCTCCTAAGGATAAGTCCTAGAAATATGCTTAATATAAGTCCAGAACAGGGATTGTTACGCTTGCATCCACTCCTGGATGGCAGTTTCTTACCTGAACAGAAGTAGTGTTGCATTTTATGTCAGGGATAACTCGGTACTTCTCTATTTACTCACATTGCATCAACTGATTTTTTTTTTTTTTTAATAAGGTAAAAAATAATTCCCACTTTCCAGTCATGTTTCAGCACACTGCAAATCTTCCTGAAATGGATTGCAGGCAGCTCTCTGCACTATGAGCATCTTGAACAAGTTTCTGACAATCCAGTGAGGTGCTGCATGGAGTAGGAGTGTGCTGAAGAAGGAGGCTGTTGTGCACAGCTGACTCCTTACCAAGAGATGCAGACAGGGCTCTGTTCCTCTACATAAAGTGACAAACACAGAATTAATAGTGCAGGAAGTCAAGATTCAGTTTATCTTAGGATAACCAAGGGGCAGGTCCAGTCATAATAACGATTTACCCTTGGGATCTTTGATTCAAGCCCTCGAAGAGGAAACTATTATTTTAGTTAGTAATTTTATCTCAAGTTCCTGCTAACGTGGACTTTTCACAGGTGTAAATGTTTATCCACAGAGTCAGGCTAGGGGTAGATGCTAAAATGCTTTGAACCATTATCCCATGCTGAAAATAAGGCATAAATTAAATGCTTTTATAAATACCTCGCCATTTGTGCAAACGGCCCTTCTTTAATTTCCACTTTGTCACACATCTCATCCTCACCAGCAGTCTGTCACTGCAATATATTAGTCTCAGTTAATGGTCTTAGTAGTCCAAATAGATCCAAATAGGCTTTTTCACCTCCCTGCTGGAGAGGCAAGAGGGAAATCAAAGATCTGTAAAGCGCCAGCGTCTGTCATCCTGCTAACAATGAAAGTGAACACAGAACAGAGCACAACTGCAGCGAAACAAAACAAAATCCAAATGTAATTAATGTTATCTTCTTGGCATAAACTGGCAAATGCAAGAGCTGAAATGTCATCCCTAATTCACTGCTCTTCATGCAGAAATTGCCTCTCTCTAATGGCTTTTGCAGCCCCTGCCTTTCCTAATGCCGGGTAATTGATCTCGAAGCCTGGCAGGAGTTGGGCCCGGTGGATTGAGGCACCTTTGGGATTTCTCTGTTACAGGCAGACTTTAGTTCATTAGTGTAGTGCTAGATAATTTTTGACTAGTAATAGCACTTGTTATGTGTGGTAAGTGCCATAAAATAATGAGTTTCAGGATAATCACCAACCTGTAGGACTTGTCAGGAAGGAACCTTTGCCTCGTGCTGTGAAGAATCAGATAAGGACCTTGTTTTGATGGTGATTTGCTTTGATCCATTAGTTTTGCATCACTCTTGTATCTTTTAAACTCAGAGATCCTGGTCTGACTTCTGTAGTCCCCCCCCCCAGAGAGCTCCTGTCCCTCCAGTGCATCCTGGGGGAGAGGGCAGTTGGTGTCATACAAATATATCTGTTGGACTCAGAGTTTGCCATCTTACCTGCCCTGTTCCCATTTGGGGAATTCCTTCAGAACAGAAAAGGGGAGAATGAGGCAATGGTTCTATAATTTTTTAAATGCAGGTTTTCATGCCTTGAGCCAGCAGCTGAGTTTCCAGGGCCTCTGAACACTGGACCAAAGTAAAACACTGTGTACCACGGGCCCCTCTGCAACAGTCTGGTGTGCACATCTGTACCCCAGTGTACAGGAAGGGATTGCTTTTTAAATGGACCATTGATTCATCTTTTTTTTTTTTCCCCAAAGGAGAACTAGGCAATTCCTTGTGAATTTGTGTGTCTCCAAGTTAGTACTGTACTCCTTGCAATAATACCCAGGGGTACAGTGTTCATATCTCAGAACAACAGAAACAAAAGAATCAGCTTAATCCTTTATGTAAAATATGGTTTGGGTTTTCTTTTGCTTCCCTACAGTTCCTACTGGAAGACTGTTCAAAACCTCACTCAACTCACAGTTAGACTTTATAATTTCTTTATTTAAACATATTTCTGGACATTACCTTATCTGGTTGTAGCTTCTGCCTTTTTTTAGTACAAATTGCTTTGAGCTCATAGCACCTAAATACTACTTTAGTAGGGAAATTTTTATAATTTTTTGAAAATTCAGTATGTTTTATGTGCTTGTTCTGGAGGAGACACTACAAGATGGAAAAGTGAGAAGTTCATGTGCTTAAAGTTTGGTAAAATCATGTATAAGTGACTTTGGCTTTAGGGAGTAAAGATGAAACTGCAGAAATATCACCTGCTTGAAGAGCAAGCATGCATAAATCTCAGATCATGAATATGATATTAATGAAATAAAATAGCCTTATTTGATTTATCTATAACTTTGTGAAATGCCTGATTATACATTTTTTTTTTACATGTAAACTGTCATATTGTAGAGCCACTTTTTAGCAGAACCTTTACATTTAAATGAAAGCTGGTCACTCACAGGATGACCTCAGTGTTTTTAATGGACAAGTCTTTTGAGTGCTCTTCATTAAGACTGGTGATGGGTAACCAGTTGAAACTGTTTGTAAAAGAGACATGTAATAGAACTTTATAATATTGAACCTTTCAGCTTTCTTTTTTTTTTTTTTTTTAATTCAAAAGAGGTAGAGGCAGATCAAAAAGACTGGAAAGCTGTAAATCTCCTAACACCTTGTCACATCACCTGCTATGAAGATCCTATCACTTGTTATTAAAATAGTGTTCTAGTTGGCAGATCTTTAAATTTTCATAAGATTAGTGAAGTGTTTTGGAAGTGAGGCTTTTGCTGGCACTGGTTTCCTCATGGAGATTCACCTCATTGAAAAACCTGGCCCTGTAAGAAAATGAATTCTACTGGGCATTTCTGATTCTTATGCCCTTAGAGTACTTGGCTGCTCTGGGTTTCTGGCTCTGTTTTTTTGGGGGGGTTTTGGTTGTTAATGTTGGGGGGTTTTTTGTTTTGGTGTTTGTTGGTTTTTTTTGGTTTGGTTTGGTTTTTTTGTTTTGCTGGTTTTTTTTTTTTTTAATACACAAAATGCAAAATTTAACCAGGGTCTGGTTAGGGAAAAGGTTAAGTATTGATAGGCAAGAGAGATGCATTTCATTGCAATAAAAGAACATTTTAAAAACATTTTAAAAGCTGCCTACAGATTCTGGAGGTCAAGTCTCTTTGAGAAAAGAAAATGATGGGGGATTTTAGGGCTTTTTGAGTGATGCTGTGTAAAGGTGCTTGAAGCAGTAGAAAATACAGGTGTGCAATAAAGCAACATCAGGGGCACTTTTTTTGCCTTGGTGCACTGCATTCCTCACTGAGAAACAGCTACACTGAGTAGGAAAGGCAGAGAAACTGTGCTTGGGCTGTGGATGAACTGCACTGCTCAGTCAACCTCATTCCCTGTTCTGGGGTTACTTCAGTAACTGAGCTGAATTTGATACAAATTTGCTTCTTCCTTTTTTTTTTGTTCTAGCAGAACCTGGATAGTATAGGGCATATTGCTGGTTTTACTGCAAGCCATTTATGCCTTGTTCATTAATGGTATTATTTACTCTGCATTATTTAATCCAGCCTCAAAACAGACTTATGTACCCTGGCAGTCTTCAAGGCAATATTGCAATAAAATATAGTACTATGAAATAATTACTTGCTCCTTTTACACAAGAATTTGTCTATTACAGAGCTAACTTTTATCAAAATTGAAGTAAAAGTGGAATTCAACTACATTTCCTGGGAATTATGCAAAACCAGATGAAACAAGTTAGGTTATGATCTGTCAAGAAATGCCATGTGTAAAGTGAAAGTAGGTCATCGAGCTGTCTTTTGATTTAAAAGCCATGCTTGATTTGATAACTGTCTTGGAAAATTCATCACAGGTTCTCCAAGATCTTGAGTGAAAAAGTATTTTTCCATTTGATACAGCACTGCTGTTCCTGTGCAAATGTAAGCAGCATAATAATGGCACAAGGTTTTTGTGAGGTTATCCTTTAGTCAGATTCTGGTTTCATGTTACCATTTGGTGCTTATATAGATTGAACAAAATTACATTTGTTGGCAGTTGCTTCTTCCCAGTCCTGGCCAGTGTCTGACTGTTTTTACTCCCATGTTGCAGTAGGAATATATAAATTGGTTCTTAAAGCTGCAGCTTTTCCCTCCTGAAACTCAGGGGGTGTTTTGGTTCTTTTGGCTGTGGTTGTAAAATAAGTATGATGACAAGTAAAGATGAGCTGTGTGTCAAATCTCCATCGATGTTCCAATGCAAACAGCATTTTTAACTCACTGATTCTGTTAACTCTTCATACACTCACAGGGATGAAAATACATAAATATCTTGCTGACTAAGTCTTGTCCAACTCCATACCAGTCTTAGTTGTATGGCAGGTAGAACAGAAATACTGCATTTGTAAAACATTACCAGAGTGAGGTTAATGATAGGTCTCATCTGGAAGTTCATTTGCTTCTCTCCAGTACCAGATTTTTGGATTGCTTCATGAGATGATGTTCTAATGGTGTTTCGATCAAATGGTCTTACACACATCGTGTGCTTTGGCACAGAACACCATTGGTGATTTTAAAAACAAAGCCTCTGAAATAATTTGCTTGAAATATTACCTTTTAAAATGCTGCAGCATTCACTACTTAGCATTTCTTAAGAGCTGCTCCCTCAGCTCTATGGATCTCCTCTGTCCTGTTAGCCATTGGTTTCCATTATCTGTAGTTTCCTGCCTTTTGTCTGAGGTTGTTTTTTTTTTTTTAAATTGGAGTGATTTTTTGACTGATTTATATTATTTCCTTATTTATAAAACTTTCCAGTGAAGCTGTTGCAGGATCAGAGTAAACCTGCCCTTATGAAACTATACATACAAGAGGCAGAGTATATATGCATTGTCTTAGAGGAGAAATAAATTCAATGGATGTAAGAACTGTTTCACAGCAGCTCTGCACGTTTTGAGCATTTCTATTCTTTCCTTCTGTTGTTCATTTCTCCAGTTTTTCCTCTGTAGAGGAGTGTCATGCATGTACCTGTGGGATCAGTTGGATTTCAGAGCTGTGCTTTGTGCTCCACGACACTTCCTTTTGAAGGGGTGAAAACCTTCCATTCATTGCACTCTGCTGCCATTCACGAGCTGCCCTCAGGAGCTGGCATTCTCTCCCACAGGACAGCTGATCCTGGAGCCATTCCTCATGTTGTGCTGTGTGTGGACACTTGGCAGAAAGTTCAGTATCAGCACAGTTCTCTTTCTCTCGATGTTTTTTGTTCAAATCACTGTAGAACTCGATATAAAGCAGAACTGACCTAGGAATTTGCAGTAAAATTTTACAGACTGGTGGAAAAGGTAGTAGGCCACCTATTTCAGTCTGTTCTGTCCTAAACCTGCCTTCACCTGACATAGGAAATAAAAGAATGAAACTAACAGCGTGTGTTCTGCTGTTGCATAAAACCATTTGTAAGAGCAGAGACTATTAACCCTTCCCTACAAGCAATGTTGCAGAAAGTCCCAACACCATGAGCCAATGAGCAGAGCTACCCCTGGAACCTAACTGCACCAGCCATCTGCCTCTGCTCTCTGCAAAGTATTTTGAGAAGCATTTAAGCCACCCAAATGCTGAATTTGAGCATCAATTCCCATTAGACAAGTGAACGATCTCCTAGAAATCAATGGGAAATGTTCCGTTTCCTTGATTTTATTGTCTTTGCTAGACATAAGATGGTAAGTGGATAATTGCAGATTTGTTTAAGTGGTATTTTACCTCCAAGAAAGCAGCAGTGATCCCATGTCAAGCTTCCAATTCCCTCGATTGTTTAGGGCACGAGGACAGACCGAGTGGGGCCGTTGCTCTTGGAGCACGTTTGTTCTCAGGGGCTGCAAAAGTGACCTCTGTTCTAAACAAGCTAAAACCCCCAAGGGGCCTGCTGCTAGCAGGGCTCTGTCAGGCCACTGGATAGCAATAGAAACAAAAACAATGATTCTCGGGATCAATTCTTGCCAGAAATGTTGAATTGATGAGAATTACTCTGGTAATGTTTTTTTGTTCAGTATTTAGTTTGTTCTTTTCTAGCGGGACTCCCAGTGGCTTAAGTGTCCAAACAGAACAGACAGGGTGCTTTTTGTGTTCATGATAAACTCAAATACAGTCCACAAAATAGCAAATGTGTTCCATGCTAGCTTTGATCTTCCTTCCAGCCAAAGTTATCACGTGCATAAATGACAAATGCTTTCCAGGACCCACCTCACCTTTCCTTATGAGAGAGTGAATTGAACATGTTAACTATTTATTGTCCATCATTGTGTGTTTTCTGTATGAATGAAGTAGCCAGGAGAAAATTGGATGATTCACCTCCGTGTTTCTTTAGCCAAAAGTCTTTAATTAAATTGGAATTAAATTGCTTTAGTTCCAGCAACTATGAAATGTAATTATATTATTTAGACCTTTGCTCCATCATGGTTTTAATCCAACTTAGGGCTGTGCTTCCAAAAAAAAAAAAAAAAAGGAAAACAAAGTCAGTCTTGTACCCCTTTCTTGTATCAACAGATATTCGTTTCACCTTCCTCTCTGGTACCAGCACTGCCAATTCTAAGGCACTGAAAGGAAACGATCTGAGCTGGAAATGCATCCATTATTGCTGGGGTAATACAAACACGTTAGTTCCTCCCTTCAGGCTTCTCTGATGCAGTTATTCTGCTCAGCCCTGTGAAGTCTGCATCGAGGAAAAGGCAGAAATGAGGAAGTGGGAGAAGCCAGAGGGGTGGCTGGACTTGCCCGTCGGGACTCACTTGGAGCTGTGGCTTTTCCATTTGCCCCTTGATGCCAGCCAGGCCTCTGGATGGTAAATCATTTCCAAAGGGGTCAGAAGTACAGGCCAGTTAATTTGTGGTGCTCTGACCCTGAGCAGCTTTAAGATCCCTGCAAGTGGTCTGGGAAGCCGCTGGGAGGTTTTCTTGGCACCCCTCATCCCTGCCAATTCCATGTGATTGGCAGGCATAATGATTGGAATGTTGCTGTCGGTAACAGTGGTCAGGCAGATGGTTGCAACTACTTTTGCTATAAAGGTTTTCAGTGTGAGTGGGTTTTAGTTTATATCAGTAAAAATTTTGCTTGATTAAAAAATAGTGTTTGTTGTCAGTGACAAGAGGCAACTCAGCTTAAAGTAAAATATGTGCACTGTCAGCAACACTGGTTTACTATCTGACCTCTTAAGTCTTCCAATAGCATTTCTGCATGATTTCTGCAAGGTAAAAGGTAACTTTTCTTTTTAATCTTTGTCTTCATTTGCATATCCCTCCCTTTCAGCTTGCTAGTTAAGTAACAGTGGCTGCTGTTTCCTTCCTCCAGCCTCTCTAATTACAGGATGATTGCTGCTGAGGGCATTGCAATTATTTGTGAGATTACACCTGCCTTTTCTTAGTAAATGAATCATCCTTAAGTGACAGTTTGACTGTTGATTGTGCTGGAATTAAGGAGGATTTAACGAGCAGGCTCAGATCTCACTTAGTGCCGTTCCAGACAATGTGCCATCAGTGTCAGCGCTCTCAAGGTGCTTCCTCCTGTGCCTGGTAACAGGACTCTGCTACACAATCCATGAAGGAAGAGCTGCTGCTGCTGCCACTTTAGCTGGAGGAGAGCAGGCAAACTCAATAATTGATACCAAGCAGGGCTGATGGCACACCCGGACACCCGAGACAGGCTCTTTAACTGCCTCAGCTGCTGCACCACTTGCTTTTCCCCTCCTTGGAAGAAGCAGGTGTTTGGCCAGAATGATTCTCAGCTTGGGAAAGAAATACTTTTCCAGTAGTTGACAGGAGAGCAGGATTAGGAGAGTCAACCTAGTTACATATACTCTTGAGTTACCAGTCTGATACTCTTATTTTGTCACTAGATGACTTAAAAGATGATATATTCTAAATGTGTTTACATTAAAGGTGGAAAACTCACATGGGCCTGTGAGAGAGGTGGATAATCAGGAAGAATGTTTTGGTGGTTGTTCCCTACACCCTCAGGAGCTCCCTCTAAAACAAGTTGCATACTCTCTGAATTTATGAATGATGGTGTCAACTGATTATCAAATACTTCCTTGCCAACAGTGTTCCTAGTTTTGGATGCAGGGCAGAATTTCCCTTAAATATGTATTAGATAAGACAGTGGAGGTTAGGGGATATTCCTGTTAATGGGATGGGACTGATTATTTATGTCTCCTCACAGCACCTGAAATTGTAACTGGTTTTGTAACTGATTTAGAAATGTATGAAATGCAAACTCTTCCACTGCTTATATGTTCTTTGGTGAAGTGTATGAATTTTCTAGGATAACAGATGTTCAAAAAGTGAATTAAACCAGTGTAAATTCAGTTCCACCACACAGCCATTTAGAATGCAAGTGAATGCTTGTAAGCTCTTCTTTCATGGTCAGCGGGCTCTGTGTCACATTTTAGTAAGTTATTTCAAATTCTGGGATAGCACAGGGAGAGCTGATTAGTTTTCCTGCTGTTCAGAGCAGGGGCTGTCCATTTATCCATATTCCTGACAACAGGAGTTTGGAGCCTTTGCCAAAGTGACCACAGTGCAAAGTAATTGTTAGCAAAAGGGCTTAATAACTAACTACATAACTTTTATTGTTAAACCAGTTGTCTCCAGTAGAGAAATACTTCAAGTTAGAAGACATTTTTCTTCATCTGTTATTTATAGTTTTCTAGATCCACTTATTGAATATTTTTGGCCTATATCTCACTTTTTGGATTTAATTTTGTTTCCAGCCTGGTCATTCCACACTGGAGAAGTATTTCAACAAGCTGGTTTGGTTTTTTTTTTCTCCTGTAGTTTCCCATTAGCAATATTTTTTTTTTTTTACTGATAGGCTTGTCCTTAGGATATTTCAGTTCTTTTACAGCATATTTTGCTTTCTGAGTCAAAAGTAGATCATACACAAATGGCATCTTTAATGTTTTTCTGTCAGATCTGAGTTTCCTCCCAAAAGGTTGGAAAAGAATTCTTTGCAGTTGTTTTCAGTATTTCTGTAGTACATTGACACCTTTTGTTTTTTAACAGGATTGCACGTTCTTCACTCGGAAGGAAATCCTTCGGTGAGTAAATTGTATTAAACTTCTCCTTTGTGATTCTCATGGAAGAGACTAAATCTTTTTATCTGACTTGTGAGGAAACCAAATAAAGCCAGTTATTTTGCATGAATGAATGAGTGTAGGATGGGACTTAAGATGCACTTATAATGTGTATTTGTTACAAGGAGACTGATGGTGATTAGCTTAAGGTCCCAGACTTTTCTGTGACTTTGCATGGAAAGGACTTGCTGCTTTTCTGCTCAGTTATACCCTGAGGGCACATCCTTCACTCAGGGCAGGTCCTGGTGTGGGCTGAAGTGTGGGAAGAACTGGTGGAGCTTAAACTGCAGAGCACTGGGAATGTTTCAGTGCCAACTTCCCCACAGAAAGTCACAAAGCTTGGGATCACTGTTTGCAATAAAAGGGCCTTGGGTTTTCTTTTGTAGTGGGGATGGATTGAGCCAAACTGAAGCTATTTCTGCCTATGTATATGCTGACTTCTTGCCATGGATCCTTGATCTTCTGACCAGTCAGGTTAAGGATCTGGGAAAGTATGACATAGATCCTGTCCTGTCACTACCCATGCTGTTTTTCCCGAGGATTTTTGCCCCAGTAGAGGGGGAGAATAAATCTGGGGTATGTATCTAGACCTAGGAACTCATAATAATTCGGGTTCTCAAATTTGAAAAGCTGCTCAGACATGAGAAACTTTGTTTTCATAAACATTGGGAACAGCTTTGAGATCAGAAGTAGACATGATCTCTGAGAAAAATGTTACTTGCCTCTTCTGTGTTGCTGTAGAGTTCAGGAACACTCATGGTCAGTGGCTCTGTCAAGGCAAAACTAGTGGGGTGCTTTATGTTTTGTTGGAAAAGTAGAGGTGGTATTTTAGCTAATTCCTTGCATAGCCTGTCCTCATTACTGCTGGAGAAGTGATGCTGTCACTCCTCAGCAGTGCACAACACCTGAGACCCCTGTGCAGGAGGGACATTGCAGCACCACTGCCTGGGGGTGTCCTTTGGTCCAGGGCCCTCTGATGGTTGTTACAGTTTAAAATCCAGAGATTTGAATCCTGGAGAACATTTTCATGAAGGACCAGGGTGTGACTGAGTCAGAACATGTGGGCAGGGAGCGGGTGGGAGCTTGGCCCAAAGATAAGCTCAGCTTAGTGCAGGCTGGCTCCTGCAGAGATACTGCTGCTCTCAAAGAGAGCCAAGGCTTTACAAGAAGGAATTACCATGGCAGGGATGTAACTTCTTCAGCAAAGCATTCCTCAGCTCTGAACCTCGAGGAATGGCATGTGATCAACAGCTATAAACAAATTTTGTGCTATGTTTGTGGTATCCTGAGAAAGTCCTGCAGCTTCAATAAACATGAATGGTCATTTTATGTTGGCAAGGCTGCAGCAATGTTAGTTCTGCTTGAGAACACTGAATTTGGCAAGAACAGAATTTGCCATCACGAATTGTTCACAGAAACAGCTGTGAGTCCAAAATAACCGAAGCTGTGTGGTTTGGATGTTGGAAGTGATTGGGTGATATTTCTGTGCCATCATTAGTTCCAGCATTTGGATATGGAATAAAAGATGTCCCCGTGCAGCCACCAGATCTCAGATACATACATTATATAGCCAGACAAAAAAAAATCCCAAATAGTTTAATTTCCTGTATAAAAGAGACCTTTAGCCACCCTCTAACTCTTAAAAATCAACAGGTACTTTTCTTCTGTTTAACGGGGCTGTCTTGACGCAGAACTTCAGAAGAAGATTTGTTTGGATTGGATAAAATGAAAAAATTGCTTTATTTTTCTCAAATTTTATTTAAACTCAAATTTGTTAAAGCTTTATAAACAGTCAATTACTTGTATTTGTACTGTGTTCCTGTGAGGGGAAATGGTTATTAGTTAAGATTTTGACACGTTACAAAAGTTAAGGTTCTCTTTGTCACTTTGAATAACTAATCTGTTCTGAGAATTGTGGGTGAAGTGATTTGTAAACTGTGATACTGGGTCATCCTGTTCTTAGGAGTAATTTCTTTTTCTCCTGTGGGATGATATCTAAGGAAATATTGGAATTAACCTGAAAGAATAATTGACTTCCAGTGCAGAAAGCAAAGTGACTTACTTTGGTACATGTGCACCTAAAATACATCTAGAGAAAAATTTGTGGACAAATCAGAAGCGTAAAACATGTGCAGTACAGGCCCCATTTAAAGCATGTGACATAAAATGTGACCATTTTTATAACAAGACTGGAATACTGGCGGAGGAGAATGGAGTCAGGACTGTAAAATGCTGATAAAAGAAAGGAAATAAGGAATCAAACATCTTCACTGAAGCTGTAATTAGGAAACTGCTCAATCTGAATGAGCAAACTTTTTATTTTTATAATCTGGAAAACATTTTCAAACTGTAACTTCGAACCATCGTGTGCAACTGAGAAAATATGGAAAATGGACTTTGGAAAATACACCGCAGATTTCAAGAACAGACATTCTAAAGCAATGAAATTTGAAGATGTCATTGCATGGCAGGCAAACAGGGATTTACAGTATTGCAAAATCTGGCTGTGGAATGAAGAGTCAGCAAGTTTTGTTCTCTTTTTCTGGGCTGCAGTGGGTAAAAAATACTTGTAGAGAATGAGTTTGCAATGTGCAGCTTTGACAAGCAGATAAAAACTGGCAGAAATGAAGAGGTATTCCTGCATGGAATTGTCACAAGGGATAATATTTCCCTTGTCTTGTCAGTTTAGATTGAATACAAATTACTGTCTAAGGAATAGAGTAGAATCAAGAAGTGTCTCTACATGTCTGAGGAGAAGTTTTACCAAATAGGTATAAAATGGGTTATGATCCCCTAGTTAATTAACACTTACTGATTTAGCATATCCCTGTCTCAGTGAAGAGGGAGATAATTACTGCTGGGAATTTTCTCATGCACTGCAGAAGCAGGTGTGGTATTAAGAAGAGCAGGACGAGTTCTGTTTAGGCTGAACTGAATTTCTTGTGCAGCTGCCGAGTTCAGTGAGATGATCCAGATGATCCAAACAACAACAAAAAAAGCCCTGTCTGGCTCCCCACCCATTTCCATGACTGCTAGTGAGGAAGAGGTACAGTTGTGTAGGTGGGGATGAGGGGATTAACATGGCAGCTTCAATTTAGATTGATTTAAACTGATGTAAACCAGCACGAGGTTGCAATTAGGTGAAATGGGCTAAGTGTTTTTATCTGTCCCTACAGGAAAGTAGCCCCATCAAAACCCCAAACAACAGTAAATCTATTTTCTGCTGGTTTAATAAGCTGAATCAGCTCTCTGAGGGATCAGATGGGTGCCAAAGCTGGCACAAGAGCCAGAGTGAGCAAATGCAACTGAAAATGAGGAGAGGAGAGCCAGGCTTAGCAAATCCCTCCCAGTGAGGTGTTGGATTGACTCACACACTGACTTCAGGGTGCAAGACTGTGGTGTCAGCATCAACTGAAGTGAACAAAAACACAGGCTATGGTCAGAGGGGTTGGGGACACGATCTTCTGATTGGTAACCTGAGTGCAGATAATTTGCAAATTATTAAAGAATAATAGAACTTATGAATTTTAAGTGAAGAAGGAATTAACACAGAATAGGAAAAAATGGATCTAGGAAAAGAATAAAATTAGACTGTGCCTGGTGAAAGAGAAGGCTAGGAGCCATAGCTCACTCTTGGTGTTTGACAGGCATTTATCACCAGAAAACCTGTCAGGACACAACTGTGCTGTATGGAAGGATGCAGAGCACACTGGTAGACAGTCAGTTCATAAGTGCCCAGAATACAACACATGCTCTGAGACAGCCACTGTGGATTTGTTAAAAGCAAATCTTCCTTTGAGTGGCTGCTCTTGTAAGTCAGAAAAAAGAATCAGGTGCAACATATCTTTATTTTGGTAAGGGGTTCTATATATTGCATTTGTGTGAGTGCACACACCTCATGGGTAAGGTAGTGCTGAACACAGAAAATTGGTGAGAGTGGTAAGAGCTGCAGACACTGTGAAGATCAAGATTAGCATTTTCAACTGTGCACAATATATTAGAGAAATTATTAGGTTCAAAGTGAGCAAAAGGAAATCCACACACTCAACTGAGAAAAAATTGCAAGTGCAGAATGGAACAAAAAAACGGGGCAGGGAGTTGGTGACCCAAGCAAAGTGAGCATAATTTTAACAAACACACACACAGACCCCCTCCAGTGCTTTTGTAAAAAAGGGAAATGTGTTGCTATGATGCATTGGCCTCAGCATTGTTTATAGAATGTGAGAATTCCACTCCAGTCAGCAGCGTTGGGACCTCAGGAGGAACAGACTGCCCAGTTTTGGGCATCACCAGTCAAAAAAGATTTCTTGTACTGGAAAACGTCCCACAGAGAGAAACATGGATAAGAAGTAAATATGACACGTGAAGGAAGGTTGGAAAAACACTTTATTCATAGCAATGAATCTCTTCATGTAACCTGCCTCTCTTGTGATTGTAAATGGGAACAAATGGTTGAGTTGTCTCTTAAAAGGCAGTATTTGTGTTCCTCAGTTCTGTAAATCTGATTTTCCAGCAGACAAGCTTTTACTCCAGTAATAATGGTTATGTCCTGGCCAGCCCATCTGTTTCTGCTTCTCCCTGTAGACAAGCACAATTTGGCAAATAGCCAAGCAGTGAAATGCAGGTGTTCTGGGGTGTCTGTCCCAGCCAGAAAGCACAAAACTTGTAAATTAAAGTTGTATCACTTGAGGCCGACTGAACTGAGCTGGACAACTGCCAGGGGAGCATGGCACTGACTGACTGAGCTGGGCACCATCTGGAAAGTCAGCAAACCTTTGAACCTCTCTGTAGAAGAAAATTAATTCATTAATCTGTTTCATTCTCTTGGCATGTTTTTGATGGGCGAAAGGGGAGGTGCAGAAGAGCCCTTTGAGCCAATCCAGTTATAATGCTGGATTTTAAATCTGAAGCCTGCCTGAGGGTTAAGGAGTGAATTCCTTCAATAGCTAGAAAATTTTCCTTTT